ATCCTTGTAAATCTTTTCTGAATCAGTTCAAGTTTCACAACATCCTTCCTATAGCAGGGAGACCAGAATTACATGCAGTATTCCAAAAGTGGCCTAACCAATGTCCTGTACAGCCGCAACATGATCTCCTAACTCCTACGCTCAATACACTGATGAATAAAGGCAAAAATATCAAATGCCTTCTTCACTATCCTATCTACCTGTAACTCCACTTTCAAGGAACTGTGAGCTTGCACTCCAATGTCTCTTTGTTCAGCAACACTCCCCAGGACCTTACCATTAAGTGTATAAGTCCTGCCCTGATTTGCCTTTCCAAAATGCAGCACCTCACAGAAATTTTTTAAAACTCAAACTATTGAATTTAAATCTGATATCCTAACACAAACGGATACCACAATGTACATGGGTTTCTTTTCTAATTCAGTATGTAAGAAGCTCTACAAAAAAGGATTTGCATTTAGATCCAGTAATGGGGAATGCATGAAAGCAGATGAGAGAAGTAAAAATAGAGGATTATCTAGGCAGTAGTAACCATAGTTTAAAATGTGTTAATTTAATAATGGTGAAGCACATGAGGTTGACAGGGACCAGGGTAATAAATTGGAAAAATGCCAATTATGAGAGGTGAGTATGGAGCTTTGGAAAAGAAAGAGAACAATATTGGCAAAAAAATTATCGTTGAGTAGAATGACAGATGGTTTCAGTACAGAAGGAGGCCCTCAGGACTATGCTAGTAGGACAGGCCATCTAGTCAAATCCTACACTTCACCTTTTTGTCCATAGCTCGGATGTTAAGGTATTTCAAAAGCATATTCAATTATTTTTTAAATGCAGTGAGGATTTCTGCCTGTATCTCCCTTTCGCTCAGTGAGTTCTAGTCATCCACTACTCTCTCCTCAACTCTCCATTGTTCCTTATATCAATTACGTTAAATCCAAGCTCCATTTGAATTATGTGCTAAAGGAATTAGATTCAATGCTCTACACAGAAATCAGAAAGTAGGGGTTAAGGGTAACCATTCAAAGTGGCAAAAAGTGGAAAGTAGGAACCCACAAGGATAATGTGATATGAATGACTTATACTTTAGAATCAAGAATAACATTTTTGATTTTGAAGTTGACACCAAGTTGGGGGAGATTGTCAATACTTAGGGGTAGAGCAACTAATCATAAGGTGACATTGATAAATGTGCATATAGATAAGTGTACATATAGATAAGGGAAGAATCTTTATAGGCTAGGTTGAGTAGCAAAGAGGCCCAGGAGTCTGCGAAGAGATGGTGGCCTAGTGCTGTTGTCACTGGGTTAGCAATCCAGAGACCCAGGCTAATGCTCTAGGTTTGAATTCAATTAATAAACATGGAATTAAAAGCTAGTCTAATGGTGACCACAAAACTTTTGTCTTAAAAAAGCTACCACCCTCCCTTGGTCTGGTCAACATTTAACTCCAGAACCACAGGAGCGGTTGACTCAGAGATGGCCTAGCAAGCTTCTCAACTCTATCTAAGCACTACAAAATCAGAAGAAAGGAATGAAACTAGGCAGACAACCTAGCTTTGACCAAAGGACAAGATTTAACAATGGTATAAACAGCCCTGTTGACTTTGTAAAATCCCCCTTACAACATAGAGTTATAGAGACGTACAGCACAGAAAACGACCCTTTGATCCATCATGTCCATGCTGGTCAAAAACAGCTATCTGTTTTTCCAGCATTTGCTCCGAGCTTTGTACACCTTGACATTTGCAAGGGCACGTCAAAATACTTAGATGTTATGGGGATTTCTGCCTCTCCGACCCTTGCAGACAGTGAGTTGCAGATTCAAGCACCCTCTGGGTGGAAAGTCTTTTCTTCACATCTCCTCTAAACCTTCTGCCCATTACCTTAAATCCATGCCACCGGTCATTGATCCCTCGACCAAGGAGAAATGTTTCTTCCTGTCTACCCGATCTTGATTGATTGATTTATTGCCACATATATCTAGGTACAATGAAAAACTTTATTTATGAGCATTATAAGCAGATCATAGCAAATAAGGACATGCAAATCATGGGGTGAAAAAAAAAGCTTGACAGAAGCATACAGGTTACATTGCACAGGGCATGTGCTAGGCAAAATCACCATTTACAAGATCAGCATTTTTTGAAGCTAGAGAGTCCATTCACCAGTCTAATAATGGCGGGGAAGAAGCTGTTCTTGAACCTGCTGGTGTGTGTGTGTGTTCAAACTTCTGTATCTTCTGCCCGACGGAATAGGTTGTAGGAGAGCATTTCTGTGGTGCAGTGGGTCTTTGATGATGTTGGCAGCCTTATCTACGCCCCTCAGAATTTTATACATTCTCAATCACGTCCCTTCTCAATCTCCTGTAAGGAAAACTACTCCGGTCTGTCAAATCTCTCTTCATAACTGAGACTCTTTAGCCCAAGCAGCATCCTAATAAATCTCCTCTGCACCCTCTCCAGTGCTATTACATCCTAGGGACTGGTGTACATGAACACCAAGGTCTGTCTGATCCTCTGTGCTTACCAGGGTCGTGTATTCCCTTGTCTTGTTTGACCTGCCCAAATACATCACCTCACACTTATCTGGATTGATATCCAATTGCTTTCTTTCCAATTTCCAGATCAACCCATCTGACCAATCCATCTATATCCTTCTGTAGTCTAAAACTATCCTCCTCACTATTTACCACACCACCAATTTTTGTATAATCAGCAAACTTGCTGATCAACCCTCCTATATTGAAATCAAAATCATTTATATAAACAACATACGTCAAGGGCCCCAATGCTGACCTCTGTGGGACTCCACTAGACATAGAATTACAGTCAGAAAAATATTTCCCAACTGTCACCCTCTGCTTCTTGCCACTCGGTCAGTTGTTGTTCCAATTTGCCAAATTTCCTTAGATCCCATGGGCTTTTACCTTCACTTTATCAAAAGCCCTGCTGAAGTCCAAGTAGACTACGTCAAATGTGTTGCTGTCACCAACACAACTAATTACCTTTTAGAAGAATTCAATGAAGTTGGTCAAAAATGATTTTCCTTTAACAGAACCATGCTGACTGTTCTTGATTAATTCCTGCCTTTCCAAATGCAGATTAATTCTGTCCCTCAAAATTGCTTCGAATAGTTTCCCTCCCACTGAGGTTAGACTGAATGGTTGTAGGTTATTTGTTTATCCCTTGCTCTTTTCCTGAATAATGTTATCACATTGGCTGTCCTCCATTTCTCTGGCACTTCTCCTGTGCCAGAGAGCATTTGAAATTTTTTGCAAATGCCCCTGAAATTTCCTCCCTTGCCTCACTCAATCTCAGACACAAATCATCCATTTCTGGAGATTTTTCTACTTAAACCTGCCGGACCACTCAGATCCTCCGCTCTGTGCTAATTTCTTTAATTGTATCACAGACCTTCTCCCAGATTTCTTTACCTGGATTGCCCCTTTCACTAATGAACACTGACACATTCATTTCGAACCCTACCTACATCCTCTGGCTCCAAACACAAATTACTTTTATGGTTCTTTATGGGGCCTCCTCATTCCCTAGTTATTCTTGTACTTTTAATGTACCTGTAAAACAACTTAGGATTTTCCTTTATTCTACCTGCCAATATTCTTTCATGCCCCCTTTTGCTCTCCTAATTTCCTTCCTAAATTTCTTTTTGTACATTGTATTCTCCTGTTCTGGGGAGCGTCTGCTGTTTTAAGCCCTTGGTATCTGCCCTATACCTCCCTTTTCCTCTTTATCCATTCCAGTCTATCCCCCAATATCCAGTGTTCATAGGATTTGATGTTCCCATCCTTTATGTTGTCTCTGTACTCTCTTCTTCTCAAATGCATCCTACTGTTCTGCCAAAATTACTTATCTGAAAGTATCTGCTGTCAGTCCATTTTGGCCAAATTATATCTGATCGTATTAAAGTCAGCATTCTTAAGTTCAAAAGTTTGAGTTCAAGCCATTCTTGTCCTTTTCCATAACAGTCTTGAATCTAACAGAGTTATGATCACTGTCTGTCCCCCATTTATACTTCAACCATTTGCCTAGCTTTGTTACCTAAGAATTAAGTATAGGACTGCCCTTTCTTGTCGGGCCTTCTGTGTACTGACTTAAAAAAGCTGTCCTGAATGCACTTTAAGACTCCACTCTCCATGAAGCTTTCACATTAGACTACCCTAGTTAATATTGGAATTGTTGAAATCCCTCATTGTCACAACCCTATTAATGTTACACTTGCCTGAAACATTTGGGTTTGTACAAAATCTGAGAGACCCAAACAACAGCGTGACTTGGGTCATATTCACGGAATCGTACATTATTCTGATCCCTAGCACTGCCTATTATTTTAAGAATACACAACTTTCCTGCACAGGTGTTAGCCCTGGTCCTCTTAAGATATTCCTGTGTTCCCATGCTTGATACTGACTACATGCTGAAAGCACATAAAAAATCAGGCTGCACAAAAATTGCGTGTTGGCTTCATGATCATGTGTGAATTGCGCATCACTATCCCTGTGTTTGTTTTCAGTCCTTATACAGTTTTACCATGTCTCTCCTGAAGACTCAGAATAGCGGCAATAAATATTTTGAACCATTGTTGGATAAGCAGAATTAAATAAATAAATCAGCTAATTACAAGTAAAATATATAAGCTCTTATGACAACTTATCTGTGTTAAAACTGGTCATATTAATTGTTGAAATATGAGACTTTTAAGTCCACAATATGCAGCATTACATGATTATTATTTTTCAATTTATTCTGGAACAGGAGAATGAAGGTTGAATTAAGCATTTGTTGATATGAATCATTCCATTACTGTTTACCTTTTTCAGAAGTTAATTATGCTGTATTGTCCTATATAAAGTTGTAGAGATCTACAGAAAACGGCTGTTTGACCCATTGCGTTGGTGCCGGTCAAAAACAACCACCTAACTATTCCCTATTTACCACTCTGTAGCTTCATGCATTGCAAATGAACTGCATTTGCAGTTACCATATGGTGAAAGAAGCTGATTCAAGACTGCTGAAACTGGATTCACAAAGGAAGTGCACAAGCATTCTTAAGTTCCTTCGACTTACTATGCAAGTGGCCCTACCTAAAGAACAGCTTTGCTGGCTTATTTACAATGGTATTGTATTATCTTCTATATCAGATTTATCCCATTTAAACAAATATATTAACTAGACGAGAAATTATTTTTTTCATGCTACAATGTTCAATTACCACAATTTTCTGCCAGGATTTTTTGTCTTGTATTTAGCTGAATTATCTAAAGGTTGGTTTTCTGAGTTTTTGGGCTGATGGGGAGTCTTGTCCATTCACTATACATGTTTGGATTGTAGGAATACAATTACAGAAATTTCTGTGATACACAATTTAGAACTAAGGCCTTTTCATGGCAACACCTGATCTAATAATTAACACTCAATATTATAAGAATAAAAATATTCATTGGCATTTCCTTTGAACAGTATGAATAACTCGTTGTCAGCACATTATTCTTATGGGCTGGATGATGATTTTGATCCAAGCAGAATGTAGAAATTGTAGGGGAAAAGTGAGAAAATAAATATAAAAGGCAAAGAGGTTATTTGTATGATAAAAGATTAATAGATAGGACAAAATAAACCTCAGTCAATTACGAACACGGGAGGAGTATACAAATAGTCGAAGGTTTTGTAGAGATTCTTAAGAAGAAAAATAGGAATCTTCTTGTGGAGATATTAAATGAGTACTTTGTATATGTCTTCATTAAAGATGAGAATTCTACCATATCCAGTAAAAGAAGAATGGGTACATATTGGATTGATTAGAAGTGGTTAAAGTGGAGGTACATAAAAGATTGAGAGTGCTCACACAAGTTTGAATGAATGCATTCTTGGTTGAGGGAAGTGAGGGTGCAAGTAGCAGAGAGTTTGGCTGTACTTTTTCAATCCTACTTAGGTATGAGAATGAGGATTGGAAGGTCACAAATGCTATGAATGGATGTTTAAAAAATAGAATTGAAATTGGTAAGTACAGGCCAGTTGGCTTAATGTGGGTAGCAGGGAAACGTCTGGATAAAAGTAGTTGATTCTCTGAAGAATTAATGTTATAAATTATAGCTAACATGGATTTGTTAAAGGTGAATCGTAAGTGATAAACTTGATGAGTTGTGTGATTTAATAATGGGGAGGGTTAATGAAGGTACTGCAGTTGTTGTTGTGAACACAAACTTTAAAAAAGGTTTTGAAGAAATGCGACATAAAGACTTGTTGGCAAAATTGAAACCTGGGTGAACCCAAAGTTGTTGAGAGATAGAGAACAGAGTAGTGGAGACCAGTGTTTTTCTGACAGGATAGTGACTCCAGGAGACAGGTATTGAGACCTTTGCTCTTTTCTGTGTAAATTATTCACCAGTATTGACAGTGATGTAGATACAGTTGTTCATGTTAACCACGACTGGGTTGCTGTCATGATTGATACATGTTGGTGAGATAGGCTTGTAAGCAATTATATAACTTGACAAAGCACAGAGAGCAGAGAGGTTTGTTACTAATTTCCTGTCACTGGTAACTTTCTTTTAGCTCACTCCCTGTATCAGATATCATTGTAAGAGGATTTTACAAAAGATGGATCCTCAATCACTAATGTACATTTTAAATCAGGGATGTTTGACATTGATAAGCATTCCTTGTTACCATTTCATTATTAGTTATTGTCTCCATCTGCTAGACATGAGACATTATATTTTAATGGAATTCACTCTTTCTCGTGAAAGTTTGTGTCACTAGAATTCTTTAAGAATTGACTAAATTTTAGATGCTGTTGCTGAATCTGTCCATTAGTTGGCAAAATGGAGCACTTTTGAAAGTTCTTCACCTTTCACTGTGTTCATCATTTTGATACAGGCAAGTAAATAGCAGGAATGAATACTTCTCCTTTTTAGTTTGGTTTCATATTTAAAAAAAAAAATTGTTTATCAGTTTTACAGGCTTTTTGCAACGTCAAGTCCCACCATGCCATTATCCTTGAGACCATTTTGATTTCAAAGTGGCTGTCACAGCTACTGAGTCGTGAACTCAATACCTGTAATGACTGGTTGTCGTTATTGTCTTTCTCCATAGTTTTCAAATCAATGATTCAAAAATATTGTCTGTGAACTTAAGAGAATCATGTCCTTTTAACATTTCAGGAGCACAATTTTATTAATTTTAGTTTATCTCTGTTACTTATGTAACAGGGATAATCTGAGATTCAAAGTACTCTTTATTTACAGTCACCTGCAAATGGAATTTATATTTTTCAGAAGACAGAACAATAAAATGCAGTTAAACAAAGTTTCTTCTGACTTTACTATGTAAACTTCAAATGTTTTTAAATGTATTGTACAATTATTGGTTTGAAATGCATTAACATGCTTCTGTGTGTTTTTAGGTACAACTTACATTTATACCATCTGTAGACATTTGATGGTTTTAACACTTTATACCAAGGTAAATTAACAAGGATATTAAATTTAATCTTCTGTAGCACTTAGTGTGCTTTTTAGTTTTTACTCTAAATAGGCCCAGTTTCACCCAGGATATGCCTCTGCGGTAGGTTTAGTCTTTTCAATAAATGACAAAATATCTATTACTCAGTGTGTATCTTTTGCAAAACAACTTGTATTTATATAGAGCCTTCACATAGTAAAATATTGTAAGATAGTGTTATCAAACAGAATTTCACACCTATTCCCTCTATCCTGAGTTTTTAATACTTTTTCACTATTTGAACATGTCTGTTGATAATTCAGCCTTCTCTCCACTTGTAAGCATTTGCTTCTGTCTGACAGATGTTAAATGTTCTTTTTCCATCATTTTCTGTAGAAAGATCAAATTTGCATTTAAAAAGCACCGATCATGATCTTAGAACATCTAAGGTGCTTAGCAGTTAAGTACTTTTGGAAATATAGTTATTGTTATCATGGATAATCTGTTGCTTGAAAGATAATTATTGGCCAGAGCACCGGAGAATCTCCCCTTCTTCCAATACTGTTATGGGCTTGTTTACACCCACTTGAGTGGATAGACAAAGCCTCGGTTTTATCCAGTTCTTTAGTTATCCTTGGTGATTATTTTTGACTTTTTTTATCTATGGGTGGCGCCTATGCTGGCATTAATCTGGTCCAGATGTTAGCCCTCTAGCCAGCTGACCGAAGGAGCAGTTATGGGTTTTACAAAAATGGGAGGTGGCATTTAGGAACTTGGAGATGAGAGAATAGGAGAAGGGGTTTCAGTGAGTCGGAGAATGACCATTGGCATAATTTTAAAGATGTTAAAGATCAGTTTGGAGACATGGAGGGGAATATTTTGCAGAAGAATGGTGGACACTCTCAGCATCAATGAAGGGAAAAGTACAGGGATTATAATTTCATCTTCACCACATTAACCATAATTCAGTGGAGTGGAGCCTCCCTGTTTCCTATTACAGAGTCTGCAAAATTTGTGTTGGAATGGTTGTAATCCAGGGTGTACCTGGAAGCCAACTGTAAACCACGTCAAACTTTAAATATAACATTCTCAATGCATGGAGGAGTTTTGAAGAGACATCATATCAGGAGGAAAGAGATAACAGTGTGGAGCTGGAGGAACACAGCAGTTCAGGCAGCATCAGAGGAGCAAGAAAGTTGACGTTTCTGGTGGGGATCCTTCTTCACAAGACCCGAAATGTCAACTTTCCTTCTCCTCTGATGCTGCCTGGACTGCTGTGTTCCTCCAGCTCCATGCTGTGTTATCTCTAACTCCAACATTGGCAGTTCTTGCTATCTCCAATGTCAGGAGGAAGATACAGAATGAAATAAAGGATAGTGCTAGATACTCCATTGAATCCTTGATACATAGAAAAGGTGTGGAATTTTTGAAGGAAAAAGTACCAGGAGAGGGAGCTGAAACACAAGCAGTTTTAAAGGTAGATTTTCACTGAATCATTCTCCATGGCCTTTAGTTTGTGTGGAATACTGTAAAGATGTCTTCCTTTTTCTGAGGCTTTATTAATCTTTCTATTTCATCTATATTTTAAATGACTTTTTTTGACCAGTCAAATTGCATCAGGAACACAGCACTTTACATTTACCTTTAAAATAAGAAAATGTTAGCTCTAGGCTACCTTCTGAAAATATTTTGAGGGGGTGTCATCTGGTCCATAACATTACATTTTGGTAAGACAAACCAGGGCAGGATTTATGCAGTAAATGGTAGGGCCCTGGGAATGTTGTTAAATAGGGAGATCCAGGGGTGCAGGTACATCGTTCCTTGAAAGTGGTGTCACAGGTAGACAGGATGGTGAAGAAGGTATTTGGCATCCTTGCCTTCAACAGAGCATTGAATACAGGAGTTGGGACGTCATGTTATGGCTGTACAAGACAATGGTAAGGCCACGTTTGGAGTACTGCATACAATTCTGGTTGCCCTGCTATAGGAAGGATGTTATTAAATTGGAAAGGGTGCAAAAAAGACTTACAAGGCTGTTACCAAGACTAGAGGGTTTGAGTTATAAAGCGAGGCAGGATAGGCTGGGACTTATTTCCCTGGAGTGTAGGAGGCTGAGGGCTGACCTGATAGAGGTTTATAAAACCATGAGGGGCATAGATAAGATGAATAGCCAAGGTCTTTTCCCCAGGTAGGGCAGCCCAAAACTAGAGTGCATAGGTTTACGGTGAGAGGGGAAAGATTTAAAAGGGACCTAAGGGGCAACTTTTTCACACAGAGGGTGGTATGTATATGGAACAATTTGCCAGGCGAAGTGGTTGAGACACGTACAGTTACAACATTTAAAAGACATTTGGAAAGGCACGTGGATAGGAAAGGTTTAGATGGATATAGGCCAAATGCAGGCAAATGGGATTAGTTCAGTTTAAGAAACCTGGTTGGCATGGACAGGGTTGAGCTGATGGGTCTGATCCCACGCTATGTGACTCTATGAATGTAATAGTTACTTTAAATATCTCTGAAGTTTGACAATATTAAATAATTATTTTGCTCTTGATCAGGCATTTGAATTTCTACTATGGGCCAGCATCTGCATGGAAACATCTATTCCACTTTCAACAGTTCGTTATCTAAGATGGAGAACAACTCTTTATACTGCTGTGTGTCAGTGTTATTATGACTGTGCGTCCGACCTGACTGCAGAGGTATAGTATTTTGTTAACATTACTACAAACTCTATCTCTTGTATTCTTGTTGTAAAACTCAATTTTCTTTTTTGCCGTATAGTGCCTATAATATGTTCTTTGAAAATTACAGTAGGCTAAATTTCATCAAAAAATTGGCTTAGTGTCAATTTCAGGGACTTTCCTAGAGGATTTCTTTCCTTGAGCTCTAGGAAGTTATCTCCTACAATTTTCTGCAGCTTACCTTATTGTGTATACAGAATGCCTTTTCAGGTTTTTCTGTTGATATCAAGGATCTCACTTTATCTGACCCTGCCATATTTTTGCCACTGAGTTGTCGTTGCCCATTGAAATAACTCTGCAAGCCACCCTTTATTTACATGTTAATACTACATGGCACTGATCCAGCTGGGTCAGAGCAGGCTCCTAGAGTGAACAGAACCCCTGACACTCCTGTTGATATCTGACATCCAGGGCACCCTGATCGGACCAGTTTAACAACCTCAATCAGGGAACTCATATTCTATATGCTCCATGTGGCTGACTTCATTCCAATCATTAAACCCATGTCATTCAGGGGTTGTGAATATTCGACCTAATAAATATTTCAAGGCTGTGTTGGTAGGAACATTATCTCAATAATTGTTTTTCACAATGGTTATAATGTTCTTGAAAACGTGCAGTTTTTCTTCTTTTGATTAATTTTCTAGCTGCACTTAGCACTTGATCTTTTTTGGAATGTTTCTTACAGTTTCAGAGTTTACAAAGTCAAAAATCACATGACACCAGGTTATAGCCCAACAGGTTTATTTGAAATCACACGCTTTCGGAGCACAGCCTCTTCGTCAGGTGCAGTGAGAGGAGAGCACACAGACACAGAGTTTATAGGCAGAGACTTGAAGGGCAGAGAGATCATACAACAGCTGTGAGTGGAGTGAACAAAACTAAAATGGCTGACTGACTGCCTCCTATTGAATCTTTAATCATTCATACATTCCTGCATTCTAGAAATTGCAGAAGCAGGGTATGGAGAACTCTGTTAGAAAGGATGTGCAAGTTTCAATTGATTAAGATGCAAATTCCAGAATCTGTTTCAAGTCACTGTCCTGAGATAATTAAAGGTTTCATCTGTGTCTGCCTAACTTTCCAAACTTCAAACTGGCAGAGCAATAGGAATATACAAAAGGTGACATCTCAGGTCAGACACTGAATTGTAGGTGTGAGGCCTTGTCCAGAATTTGTCTCAGAGTTTCAACATGGAATCAGGCTGGCTTAATTCCAAAAGCAGGACTTTATAAAATGCCACACAGACTGACTGTGACTACAAATTGTGTGTTTCTTGGCACCTCCACATCAAAGTTTGCAAAGGGCAGAATGATTTCCTTCTGCACCATAGCAATTCCATAATTCTGCTTGCCTAAATTCTTGCTTTCCTACTCTTGTTCTTGACTTTAACTATGTTAAATAGAATTGAAATTGAAAGGTCACTGGTTTCCACTTATTTACTTGCATCTGAGCTGGTTATTGCAGACTACTAAACTCTTAGCATGTACTCACAGTTTTGTCTTTACATATTTTATTAAGAAGCATTTGTTGTTTGCTCTGAATGTAGTTTGGAGTTCAGCCACTCCCTCCTGGTTATCCAGTTCTTCTCTTTACCTATCTACATTGCAACATTGCTATTGTGAGGTATTGAAGTGCACCCTTTCAGTGTATGGAAAAGGGATTGATTTTAGAGTTTACTTGGAAAGAGGGCTGTGCAAGACTGTATGAAATACTCACCTGTCTATCATACAGTGAATTCAGCCCCATTCTTTCAGGTCTTTGTAACTGTATCCTGTCATTCCTGGTAATCACTGTGATATATTTTCATTAATAGGCAGCCTAAACTGAGTATTGTTGTAGAATTATATAATTACTTGTTAAATTTACTCTGATACAGATCCAATGTAAAAAATGAATTTCAAAGTAGAAAGTTAATTCAAGTCAATTTTAAATTAGAAAAGTAAAGAGTAATGGTGTGCATCTGACAATATTGTAAATATTTTAGTAATCGAATCTAAATTAGCATGCAGATTGATTATAATGTAAAACATTTATGGAAAGTTAAGATTGTACATATTTCATTGTCTTCTTATATTTCAATATTGTTTCTGTTATTTTTAAAATAGGTGTTTGCTCGTCGTGCTTTGGGCAAGATCAGTGAATTAAGCCAATTGGAAACCATGAATCCGTCTCCTCAAACTCCTGAAGTTGGAAAAGCCTTTAGAGAGGCCACTGTCAAGGTAGCAGAAGCATAAAGATCGAATAATACCAAGTCAGTATTCACTTCTAATTGACCAGTGCATTTACTTGAAGTGGTTTTGTTTCCTTTAGGTATCAGTAATGATATTTAAAAGAGCAGTATTTGAAGGTAGAAGAAAGCCAAAAGGAATTTTGCGGCCTATGCAAAGAACTAATTACAAAGAGTCTCAAAATGTGAGTCATGATTTATTTATTGTTGTAAAGGGGAAGTCGAGGTCCTCTTATAATTAAAATCAAAACACAAGCCCCCAATCTATTACGGCGGGAGTAGAGGTCCCCTTCTAATAATTAAACCCGAAACACCCAGAGAAGCTCACCTCACCTAACCTGTTAAGGAGTGGTTAAATGAAAGAAAAACCCTGATATTCACTTCATAAGCACCAAGTAACAATTTATTTATTTTAATTCTAACAGTGAACAAATTAACGGAACTACTAACAAACCGAACAATTCTCCCCCAACTACTAACTATTCTCTAAGTGAACAAAATTCTACTGGTATGCTCTTCCAATAAACACAAGTCCCACTTATGTAAATCTAAGGAAAAAAAAAACTAAATTAAAACTTAGACTCTCAAAGTCCATACAGGGTGTGTCTTCTAGAATGTTCTATCTTCTCTGCTGTCTCTCCAGCCATAAACGCCTTACTTCCACTGATCCTTCTGTCAGAGATGTTTTCTCTGTGAATTTTTCTGAGGACTTTTAGCTAGAAGTGCTGTGGTACCTTTTATGGATAGATGGTGCTTTCTCAGAGAGCTTAGAGGTTTCTTTGTCAACTAGATGTTTAATCCTCAGATGTTGGTTTGCTCACACCCTGATTATATACCTTGGATGACATATCAATTTTCTTGCAATAGCATTGGTCCAAGGTTGTCAAAACCATTGGATTTAAATTCAGAGTTAGTAGGAACTGCCGATGCTGGAGAATCTGAGATAACAAGGTGTAGAGCTGGATGAACACAGCAGGCCAAGCAGCATCAGAGGAGCAGGAAAGCTGACGTTTCGCGCCTAGACCCTTCTTCAGAAATGGGGGAGGGGAAGGGGATTCTGAAATAAATAGGGAGAGAGGGAGAGGCGGATAGAAGATGGATAGAGGAGAAGATAGATGGAGAGGAGACAGACAGGTCAAAGAGGCGGGGATGGAACCAGTAAAGGTGAATGTAGGTGGGGAGTTAGGGAGAGGACAGGTCGGTCCAGGGAGGATGGACAGGTCAAGGAGGCGGGATGAGGTTAGTGGGGCTTGAGGTGGGAGGAATGGTTAGGGAGGTGGGGACGAGCTGGGCTGGTTTTGGGATGCGGTCGGGGGAGGGGAGATATTGAAGCTTGTGAAGTCCACATTGATACCCTTGGGCTGCAGGGTTCCCAAGCGATATATGAGATGTTGTTCCTGCAGCTTTCGGGTGGCATCCACTCCACCTATCTTCTCCTTTATCCATCTTCTGTCCGCCTCCCCCTCTCTCCCTATTTATTTCAGAATCCCCTTCCCCTCCCTCATTTCTGAAGGAGGGTCTCGAACCGAAACGTCAGCTTTCCTGCTCCTCTGATGCTGCTTCGCCTGCTGTATTCATCCAGCTCTACACTTTGTTATCTCAGATTCTCCAGCATCGGCAGTTCCTACTATCTCTGTAACAATTTTAACCCCACTGCGAAGCCTCTTCTAAGGATGCCTACCTTAAAGAAGTTACCCTCCTCCCTCCGGAAAAACCTCAGTGTATCCCTCTCCCACTGCAACCCTCTTGTAATCTCTTCGGCCCTGAAACTGCTCAACCATGTCCGAACGCAAACCAGGTGCTACAGCCACGTTGCTTTTCTGAGTACCTGCCTACGGAACCGGATCATCCCCAACGGACTACAGTCTACATTTATGCCTTCCCAATTTGGCCCCAACCGCGACGAGCGCTACATTCAGAACATTGATATCCTACAGAAGCGTTTCTCCCTGTGACTCCTAAAATACACACTCACTGCAATGCGCCGGCATCTCCAGATACTACAATTAAGCCTACCCCAGCTGAGAGCCTCCCTCTCCCAGACCTCTCCTGTTTTTTATTCTTCGTAAGATCCACAACCTGAACTCACAATTCTACTCGGCTTTATTGGACACTAAAAACCGAAAGTACTTTAAACTTACTGGTGCCTGCCACCCTACCCAGGACCTTCCCCACCACGTGCCTGCTGGCATTGGCTATGTGGCCACCTTCGGAGCACCAACGGTTTCCATGGATGACATCACATCCGCCGCCGCCCGGTATGCCACTTCCGGTACAGCCAACGCCATCAACACTGCTGCTGATGCCGCCGCCTCCGTTTCCGAGGCCGACAGCACAGACATTGAGGACGCCGCTGCCACCAACATCCAAGATTTACTGGCCTATGTCGCTCCGCCCACTGCCGACGTCGCTCCGCCCACCACCTCCACAGCCAGCAGCTCCAGAGGAGACTGTAGCACCCAGCCCTGATGGGTCTTCACCATCCCCCCAGACCTCCCCCTTACTGAGGACGAAAGGTCAGTCCTCAGTAAAGGGCTCACCTTTGTCTCCCTCCACCCAAACATCGACGAATACAACTCACGTTTGGACATTGAACAGTTTTTCCGCCGCCTCCGCTTCTGCGCTTACTTCTTTAACCGTGAACCTAACCCTCCCCCTACTGACCCCCTTCTCCCGCCTCCAACACACCCCCTCCTCCTGGACACCACCCCAAGGCCTCCTACCCTTCCTCGACCTCTTCATCTCTAACTGCCGTTGAGACATCAATCGCCTCAACCTCTCCACCCCTCTCACCCACTCCAACCTCTCCCCCACAGAACGTGCAGCCCTCCGCTCCAATCCCAACCTCACCATAAAGCCCGCAGACAAGAGAGGCGCAGTTGTAGTATGGCGCACTGACATCCACATCGCCAAGGCCAGATGCCAGCTCTCTGACACCTCCTCCTACCGCCCCCTTGATCATGACCCCACCCCTGACTACCAAACCATCATCTCCCAAACCATCCACAACCTCATCACTTCAGGTGACCTCCCACCCACAGCCACTAACCTCATCGTTCCCCAACCCCGCACCGCCCCCTTCTATCTCCTTCCCAAAATCCACAAACCTGAATGCCCTGGTCGACCCATTGTTTCCGCCTGCTCCTGCCCCACTGAACTTATCTCCACCTATCTCGACTCCATTTTCTCCCCCTTGGTCCAGGAACTCCCTACCTACGTCTGTGACACCACCCATGCCCTCCACCACCTCCAAAACTTCCAATTCCCTGGTCCCCAACACCTCATCTTTACCATGGACGTCCAGCCCCTATACACCTGCATTGCCCATGCAGATGGCCTAAAGGCCCTCCGCTTCTTCCTGTCCCGCAGGCCCGACCAGTCCCCCTCCACTGACACCCTCATCCGCTTAGCCGAACTCATCCTCACCCTCAACAACTTCTCTTTCAATTCCTCCCACTTCCTACAGACAAAGGGGGTGGCCATGGGTACCCGCATGGGTCCAAGCTATGCCTGCCTCTTTGTGGAACAATCCCTCTTCCAAAGCTACACTGGCCCTATCCCCCACCTCTTCCTCCGTTACGTCGATGACTGTATCGGCGCCGCCTCATACTCCCACGAGGAGCTCGAACAGTTCATCCACTTCACTAACACCTTCCACCCCAACCTTAAGTTCACCTGGACTATCTCTGTTACCTCTCTCTCCTTCCTGGACCTCTCTGTCTCCATCTCTGGCATCCACCTGGAAACCGATATCCATTTCAAGCCTACCGACTCCCACAGCTACCTAGAATACACCTCCTCTCACCCACCTTCCTGCAAAAAGGCCATCCCCTATTCCCAATTCCTTCGCCACCGCTGCATCTGCTCCCGAGATGAGGCATTCCAGTCCCGGACATCCCAGATGTCCTCGTTTTTCAAGGACTGCAACTACCCCTCCACAGTGGTCGAAAATGCCCTCGACCGTGTCTTTTGCATTTCCGGCAACTCATCCCTCACACCCCCTACCCACAATAACAACGAAAACAGAATCCCCCTTGTCCTCACGTACCACCCCACCAACCTCCGAATCCAACGCATCATCCTCCGACACTTCCGCCATCTGTAATCTGACCCCACTACCAAAGACATTTTTCCCTCCCCACCCTCATCTGCTTTCCGGAGGGACCACTCTCTCCGTGACTCCCTTGTCCGCTCCACACTCCCCTCCAGCCCCACCACCCCTGGCACTTTTCCCTGCAACCGGAGCAAGTGCTACACCTGCCCCTACACCTCCCCCCTCACCCCCATTCCAGGCCCTAAGAAGACCTTCCACATCAAACGGATGTTCACCTGCACATCTGCTAATGTGCTATACTGTATCCGCTGTTCCCGTTGTGGCCTCCTCTACATCAGGGAAACCAAGCGGAGGCTTGGGGACCGCTTTGCGGAACACCTACGCTCAGTTTGCAACAAACAACTACACCTCCCAGTCGCGAACCATTTCAACTCCCCCTCCCACTCCTTGGACGACATGTCCATCCTGGGCCTCCAGCATTGCCACAGTGATGCCACCCGAAAGTTGCAGGAACAGCATCTCATATTTCGCTTGGGAACCCTGCAGCCCAAGGGTATCAATGTGGACTTCACAAGCTTCAAAATCTCCCCTCCCCCGACCGCAACCCAAAACCAGCCCAGCTCGTCCCTGCCTCCCTAACCATTCCTCCCACCTCAAGCCCCACCCCCAGCTCCAACCCACTAACCTCATCCCACCTCCTTGACCTGTCTGTCCTCCCTGGACCGACCTATCCCCTCCCGAACTCGCCACGTACATTCACCTTTACTGGCTCCAACCCCGCCTCTTTGACCTTTCTGTCTCCTCTCCACCTATCTTCTCCTTTATCCATCTTCTATCCGCCTCTCCCTCTCTCCCTATTTATTTCAGAATCCCCTTCCCCTCCCCCATTTCTGAAGAAGGGTCTCGACTCGAAATGTCAGCTTTCCTGCTCCTCTGATGCTGCTTGGCCTGCTTTGTTCATCCAGCTCTACACCTTGTTATCTTGGATTTAAATTCAATCGGTTTTCAGTCTCTAAGTGCTTGGTTTAAATTAATTAGCTGATCTTCAAGCTACTTGCCAAAATAACAAAACAAACCTAAGGTTTCCAATTACACAGCCAATTGATACATGTTTCAATTTCAGAACTGTCTGTACCTGTTCAGCTGCTGACAGACACATTTTCTGTGTAAATCTCCAAGCTTAGAAAAGTGCTTTACCTCTTTGAGGAACCGTGCACTCTACCCTCCTATCATTTTTACAAACAAATTTTAGCTTCCTGCCTTCCAATTCATGAGTATGCTACACAACTTCGTAACTTTAATGAATGCAAAGTTGTGATTGCTCTCTAAAATACTTCTGCTTAAATTTCTTACTATAATGAGGTGTGCATTTTCTATTAAGGCAAGGCAGAGAATCTGTGTACACTCAAACACAGCCGTAACATGTTGTTCCTGTTTAACTTCTGACACCCAGTTAGTAAAAAAGGAAACCAGAAGTCCTGTATTCCAAAGTCAACCATTATAAGTGTCTAACTCTTAATTCTATAACCTGCTAGCAGTATTCTTAAGCATATCTATAGATATTTTCTAATCAACCTGTTCAGAGATGTTATTACACAATTCTGGAGCAGATGGGGCTAAAAGAGACATGAAGTGAAAGTTTAGAACATAGAACATAGAACATTACAGCGCAGTACAGGCCCTTCGGCCCTCGATGTTGCGCCGACCTGTGAAACCAATCTGAAGCCCATCTAACCTAAACTATTCCATTATCATCCATATGTTTATCCAATGACCATTTAAATGCCCTTAAAGTTGGTGAGTCTACTACTTTCGCAGGCAGGGCATTCCACGCCCTTACTACTCTCTGAGTAAAGAACCTACCTCTGACATCTGTCCTATATCTATCACCCTTCAATTTAAAGCTATGTCCCCTCGTGCTAGCCATCACCATCGGAGGAAAAAGGCTCCCACTGTCCACCCTATCTAATCCTCTGATCATCTTGTATGTCTCTATTAAGTCACCTCTTAACCTTCTTCTCTCTAACGAAAACAGCCTCAAGTCCCTCAGCCTTTCCTCATAAGACCTTCCCTCCATACCAGGCAACATCCTGGTAAATCTCCTCTGCACCCTTTCCAATGCTTCCACATCCTTCCTATAATGCGGTGACCAGAACTGTACGCAATACTCCCAAGTGCGGCCACACCAGAGTTTTGTACAGCTGCAACATGACCTCATGGCTCCGAAACTCAATCCCTCTACCAATAAAACCTAACACACCATACGCCTTCTTAACAACGCTATCTACCTGGGTGGCAACTTTCAGTGATCTATGCACATGGACACCGAGATCTCTCTGCTTATCCACACTACCAAGAATCTTACCATTAGCCCAGTACTCTGTATTCCTGTTACTCCTTCCAAAGTGAATCACCTCACACTTTTCCGCATTAAACTCCATTTGCCACCTCTCAGCCCAGCTCTGCAGCTTATCTACGTCCCTCTGTAACCTGCAACATCCTTCCGCACTATCCACAACTCCACCGACTTTGGTGTCATCCGCAAATTTACTAACCCATCCTTCTACGCCCTCATCCAGGTCATTTATAAAAATGACAAACAGCAGTGGCCCCAAAACAGATCCTTGAGGGACACCACTAGTAACTGAACTCCAGGATGAACATTTCCCATCAACCACCACCCTCTGTCTTCTTACAGCTAGCCAATTTCTGATCCAAACCGCTAAATCACCCTCAATCCCATGCCTCCGTATTTTCTGCAATAGCGTACCATGGAGAACCTTATCAAACGCTTTACTGAAATCCATATACACCACATCAACCGCTTTACCCTCATCCACCTGTTTGGTCACCTTCTCGAAGAACTCAATAAGGTTTGTGAGGCACGACCTACCCTTCGCAAAACCGTGTTGACTATCCCTAATCAAATTAATCATTTCGAGATGATTATAAATCCTATCTCTTATAATCCTTTCCAACACTTTACCCACAACCGAAGTAAGGCTCACTGGTCTATAATTACCAGGGTTGTCTCTACTCCCCTTCTTGAACAAGGGGACAACATTTGCTAGTCTCCAGTCTTCTGGCACTATTCCTGACGACAATGACGACATAAAGATCAAAGCCAAAGGCTCTGCAATCTCCTCTCTAGCTTCCCAGAGAATCCTAGGATAAATCCCATCCGGCCCAGGAGACTTATCTATTTTCACACCTTCCAGAATTGCTAACACCTCCTCCTTATGAACCTCAATCCCGTCTAGTCTAATAGACTGTATTTCAGTATTCTCCTCGACAACATTGTCTTTTTCCTGTGTGAATACTGACGAAAAATATTCATTTAGCAGCTCTCCTA